GAGTCGACAACATAAATATAAACTTGGGGCTATTCTCCATATTGTACTCCCGGATGAGTTTATCGCGGTCCTCGTGTGGCGTCTGCCCATCCAAGCGGCAATAGTCGAACTTGCGCCAGTTGCAATAATCCTCTAGAATGTCGAGCATGCGCGTCATCTGCGAGAAGATGAGCACACGAGAGCCCTGCTCTTGAAGTTTCATCAGCAACTTGTCTAGGATCAACATTTTGCCAGAGTTTTTTAGCAGATTCGAGTCCGTGGTGTAGGGGAGCTCCTCGACACCTTCGAACAAATAGGGGTGATTTACGCACTTTCGTAGCTGCATTATAATGTTCATAACTCGCATTTTCGAAATGGTGCCATAGCATGTCATTACGTCGATATCATTGAGCAACAGCTTTCTATACCACTCCCGTTGCATTCTTGAGAGGCCCACATAGATGTTGACCTCTTTCTTGGGCAGCAAATTCGCCTCCACCTCAGATTTGAGACGACGCAGCAGAAAAGGCTTTATCACGGCATGCAGGCGGCCAACTAATACGTCGTCGCCCAGGCAAGAGTTCGTGTTGAACCACTCATCAAAGTCCTCTGAGGAATTGAATACATCAGGTAGTAAGAAATTGAGCAGCGCCCACAGTTCGTGCAAGTTATTTTGCAAGGGTGTGCCAGTAAGGAGTAGACGATTAGTGGAATGGAACTCGCGGACCTTCCCCGAGATCAGGGCGTTTTCGTTCTTTATGCGATGTCCCTCGTCGATTACCAGGTACTGCCAGCTAAAGCTTTTCAAGAAGCTGCGCTCCCGCAAGCACATGTCATACGAAGTGACGCATACATCCCATTTAACTTTCTCATTCTTAGGCATTTTAGCTTTGATCGTCTTGCGAGTCTTTTTGTCGCCAATGAAACAAATCACTTTCAATGAGGGACACCAATGCTCAAACTCATTCATCCAATTCGCCAAAGTCGACTTGGGCGCCACAACCAAGTGAGGGCCAGCTTGGTGTCTGTGAACAAGGTTTGTATAAAGTTATCTGGATAATATTTGCTCAAGTTCATTTCACTCACTTTACATTCCGAATGTAGCCCAGCAGCGAGATCGTTTGCAGCGTCTTGCCCAGACCCATTTCATCGGCCAGAATACCGTTGATTCCATTCTCGTAGAGCAAAATCAGCCAGTTCAAACCACGTAGCTGATAGTCCCGCAGCTTCCCGTTTACAATAAAAGTAGGTGAGGCATCGAAGTATCCTGCATTGTTGTTATTAGCATCTCCTTCAAGAGCTACCCCGTTCTCATCATTTGATGCATCACGTTGTTTTCTAAACATTATCAATATATGATGCATTGTTTTTATTTAGTTGTCCATTTTTGCCTACCTGGTCAGTGGACGAGCCCTGGCTCCGGTTGTGGGCTTACCGCCGCGATCTTTGACGTTTTTTGCCTCTGAAAACGTGTTTCCAATGAAATGGGTATAGGATTCGGTTTGTTTTAGCAAACACTCAAAACGGCTTTCGCGCGTGGATTCAAAGTAATCCTTCTTACTATTGACTGGGCAATCGTCTTCATTCTTAGCCAAGTTAACGCTCTAAGTATTTGTCCCATTAGCAACAACAAAAGAACAATTTCTTTGTAAAAAGTTCAGCTTACCAAATTTTCTTTTTCGTCGCCCATATTGTAGACATTTACTTTACAAATTTCAGCTTTGTTGACTATTTATCTTTATTATTTATTTCTTAAGATCAGCTAAAAGATTTCACAATGGCATCGCGGGAAAAATGCACGAATGCTCTATTTTCCTTTGAAGTTAGATAATTATCGATAAATACTTATCATAAAACATTAATTACCAAACACTGCTCTGTATAATTTCTTCTAGGAAATTGCATATTCAACAACACTAAGACATATTGTTTCTAGGCGGTAACTGTTAATTATTGCTGTTATATTTCATGCAAAATTAAACTAAGTTTCTGTTACTATTTGTAATGGTATCATTCGAAATTCGTTATAAAAGCATTGTCATATGATTTGAAAATTTTAAAAGTTGTTTTATTGGCCACATCTGTGAATAATCGTGAATACTAATAAATATGGTAGTTAGCAGCACTAAATATTAAATTTCGCGCTTGGTTGCAGTTTGAATTTGTTGAATAAATTACATTTATAGTTTTTGGTTTGTATCTTAAATTATACAAATGTTGTTTGTTTTAACCTAGGCATGTATTTTCTACAAAATATATTTACAGTACATAAAAATCCAATTTTTACATGAGTGTTTCTAGCGAAATATACAGAACAAATGTGAACTATCTAAAGTCCCATTTAATATGTGAAAAGACTCGCTGTTCATGCATTGTTATTGTGGTGAGCATATGATTGATGATCGAACTCCGTTCAGCTCAACACACGGAATGAAATGCAGCAAATGTTGTTTGTTATATTTTGGAATACATGTATGCATGCATACATCTGTCTATATATATATCTATATATATATTGTTCTAGTTAAATTAGTTCTTGACGGAAAAGAGTTGAGCAATTTTACTGGCGTGGCCCTTACAAAACTCATAACTAATTTTCGCTGTCCTCTTCAGAGCCTCTGTTGTGCTGCTGGTGCTGCTGTGATTCGCAGATGCAACGGCCATGTCGCTGTATGTCACATTAGCTACTGCGCTCTGTGAATTGACTGACGTTGTAGGCGACGACGCTGCCAGTTGATTCTGCGGGAACATGCGTCGCAGCACGTAGTTAAAGCCATTTGAGGCTTTGTGGCCGTTAGATTTGAAGCGTTCAATGCCAAAGGCGCGTATTGCACGGGAGAAGCCAAATACTTGAGAGCTAATGTATGCTCTCCGGACCGCCAAAGTGCGTCCGTCCTTTTGTTCGCTGTACACTACAATTTCATCCACTTTCTGGAATGTTCGGTATGTTAGCTTGTGTCACCCTGTGCACGAGCAAGCGCGTGCGGTACAAAGTCTACTTACCATTATCTTTTTCATGCCCAGATTGCGGGTAAATGTTGTAAATGTCTTTTTAACGGGGTCCAGCACCGAGTCTTCAACAATCTTCACCGGCAAATTGTTGTAAAATCGTGCCCCCCACTTGGGCACGGGATTCGTCTTCGATAACAAACGGCGAGAATATAATTTTCCATCACGCACTTCACGCCTAATAGTGTCCTCGGTAAGGACATGAGTGCTGAAATGGAGGGAAATGCGATGGTTAGATATGTTAAGGACCATTAATTGATAGAGATATCGTACCTTGACGGATTGGGATAACGATTCCAATAGGCAGAAACTACATGGATCCAGCTGTAATCGAAAACCGTTTCCGTGCAGCAAGTGGACGCAGTGACTACCATGTCGGGAATACTCTACAACGGACTGCTAGAAGCTTTGCCAAGTAAAGAAAGTGAAAATCGTTGCGGCCCTGAACCGCATTGAAAAAAATGACAATGGAGAGAGCCGAACACAAAAATCAATTAGATGCATATTGGCATGCTATAAATAGAGCCGATTATTCGATCGTTACCTGCTGAACGATTGTCGCAGAGCTCTAATTGTGTGCTTATTGTTGTTGTATCCGTGCCCCTATCGTTGGCCCTGAGGCCTACTACTCGTCCAGACTGAGAATTTTGAGAATTTCTCTTGACGTTGTGTAACTGCGTCACGTACAGGGTGTTTCAAAACATCAACCAGATATGAGTGTGTGCTGCCAATGGAAGCGCTTTGTTGAATTACCTATTGCTAATGTTGCTTTGTTTTGGACTTTAACACCAGCGCTCATTAGTTTTGATTTATATTCAACAAATTTTGCTTAACACAATTTTAACAATTAAGCCAATTACATAGACGACTAGCAGAGCTAACAGGAAGCAGCTGAGTGGCTATGTTGCAGTGCTGCACAGTGTGTCATACATATCGATATACTGTATTCGATATCTGTGCAAAAGTATTGCCGCCCTTGCACATCACCAGCTCTTTCGCTCAGACTTTTCCAGCGTAGACGCAGCTCAGCGCACGACACATTTAATTTAAACGTGAATTACACTAAAAATAATCGCATTTAAAATGGCATTCGGTGATGTTAAGACCCCACAAGGCCTCAAGGAGTTGAACGACTTCCTGGCCAACAACAGCTACATCAGCGGGTAAGTAATGAGCCGCATGTGCCTGCCAAATGTGAGGTTAGGCACGACAAACACGTCGGCATATTTTTAATTGAAATGAATTTGTGTTTTTTGTTGCAGTTACACCGCTACCAAAGCCGATGTATCTGTGTTTGATGCCCTGGGCAAGGCACCAGCTGCCAGCTATGCTAATATTGCTCGCTGGTACCGTCACATTGCCTCCTATGAGGCAAGTGAGCGTTCTGCCTGGGCGGGTGCTCCGCTGCCCCAATTGGCTGGAGGCAAGCCTACAGTTGATGCTCCCGCTAAGCCAGCTGCCGATGACGATGACGATGTTGATCTATTCGGCTCTGATGATGAGGACGATGCCGAGGCTGAGCGCATTAAGGCCGAACGTGTTGCCGCCTATGCTGCCAAGAAGTCAAAGAAACCTGCTCTGATTGCCAAGTCGTCTGTACTGCTCGACGTGAAGCCATGGGATGATGAGACCGACATGAAGGAGATGGAAAACAAAGTCCGCACCATCGAAATGGACGGTCTTTTGTGGGGCGCATCCAAATTGGTGCCCGTTGGCTATGGCATCAACAAGTTGCAGATTATGTGCGTCATCGAAGACGACAAGGTCTCCATTGATTTGCTGCAGGAGAAGATTGAGGAGTTTGAGGACTACGTGCAGTCCGTCGATATTGCTGCCTTCAACAAGATCTAAGCAACTATATACTCTTTAACTGATGCATAAATAATAAAACTACAGCAGAGCTAAACGAATTGATGTCTATTGCTATCTGTCTCTCCCTCTCACTCTCTCTCCCATACACATAAAAGCTGTTTTTCAGCTACGATTTCAAGTTCGTTTTTAAAGTCTTTTGTTCAGAGCAAAAGCTTTTTCAAGTAGCTGAACAAAAGAGTGCAGCTCGAACGTTTGGCAGCTCAGTTATACGAAAAACGCTAAAGCGTGCGGTTCCAGTCGTAGAGCAAAGTTTACGAATTTGTTTATAATTTAAATACACTAATAGTATACTTTTTTCGGGCAATAAAAATATACATATATACGATGGCTGCAAACAAATTGTGCTGCACATTGGCTATTGGAGCTCTGTTGTGTCTCGGCTTCGCTGCTCTAATACAAGCACAGGGTAAGCGATACAGAGTTCGATATATTTTATATTCAGTTTGATGTTTTTTTTTTTTTTATTTGTTTACAAATTCCGTCACATATATTTCAAATGCGAGTTGGAAATACCTGTCCGCGGGTATCGTGCATTTCATTAACATTAATTAGCAATAATATACATACAAAATTCTTTTTGTTTGGGATAATGCTTAAAAAGTAAACGCATATATTCATCCATATCCGTTGTATTCTAATGCGTTTGTAGCTATGTACAGAGATGCACATCAGAATGCAACTGTCATTCGGGGCATTGACAGAGGAGGTTTTCAATTACATTGGCATCGCTAACTACTTCCGACATTAACATATTATTTAAATTGAGCTAATGAAACGGAATTAATTTGAATTACAATTCCACAACTATAGTGATTGATTGCTGAAAGAGCTAAGTGATAAATTGTGATTTATCAATATAAAATGTTTTTGGGTTAATGTCAGATTATGCAAATACTTTTGATGTAGCATACACAAAATTGGTGTATAGTATATTTATATAGTAAACAAATTTATAGAAATGATATGCTCACATTTGTAGAATTTCCCCGCGTTATCACGCATCTATACATCCATTGTTTTTGTCGAATCCGGGAAAAAGTTCTCCCCTCTGCTGTGACATTTATTCATGTACTCGTTATTGTTTATATCTTTGCTTTTTCCAGTTAATATCAAAATAATTATATGATAATTATAAACGTGTTCAGTTAATGAAGCCATTTAATTATAACAAATAAAATTAACGACATGAATAATAATTGAGAACAGTTTATAAAAAAAAGAAAACACACACACATAAATATAGATGCGGCAAAATATATTCAAATTTTGACCTAATTCAAAGGGTTATTGAAGTCCGTTGAACCCGAAAGACACCACAAATGAATGAAAGTTAAACTTACATTATATATAATAGTATTTAGTTATTTCATTTGAATATTTTTCATTCAATTATCATTAAATTTAATTTTGAGGAACTGTACAATTGTAAGAAATATTATAATCGATTTAAATTAATTGAATAATGTATTTAATTATAATTTAATGACAACTAAAATGTATTTAAGAAAAACTAATGAGTTTCCGTGGCATTAACAGAAATTGAGGAACAGTTCAATTATGTATAATTTCAAGCATTTAATTTCTAGAAGCAGGCGTAAAATATTTTAAGGTAGTATTAAAAGAATATCACAACGATAAATTTATTTAATTTCAATATATGTATATATTCTATATCAATTTAATTTTTGTTTGATATTAACTTGAGAAGCTATTTTTTTACAATATGATGTTGTGAAGAGATTTAAAAGTCGAAGTAAATTCCTTCAAGGCTTTAAATCATTTTTTATGAAAACAAAATACATTTTCATATTAACAATAAGCGACGATAACGCATGCATACAGAATCACTGGAAAAAATAAAGATCAATTTTCGCACTTGACAAGCAACATCTGCCGGCTTGAAAACCTTGGACAGCATACAAAAAAGTACAAAGAAAAAAAAAAAACCCACAGAAATAAAAGAATATTGCTTGACTCGTGCTTCTTGATAAGGTAAATTGACTCATACGCCCGATTCGAAATCTGTAGTTAAAAAGAACAAAAAAAAAAAAAAAAAAAAAGAAGAAGAAGAAGAAGAAGATAATGTAGTTTTGAAGTCTTGATGCTGCCATTGAAAGTTGCAAAACTAGTTCGGCAATGGCAGGCAGATAGGTATATACAGCATCCAACGGAACGTGAGGTTCATGGGCGTACAATTTGTATTATTATTATTATTATTATTTTGTCTGACATATTATACAGCTACATAGGTATATAAATTGGATACACATTTTATTGACTTGACTTACAGTTTACATATATTTATTTCATTAATGAATCCCAGAATATATAACGATGACATCTTTAAGCAAATATGTGTAAAAAAAAAAAAAAAAAAAAAAAAAACAAACAAAATCAAAATAAAATTTCCAGTTTTTTTATTGAGTCTCGAAAGCTTGTTACGTTGATCGCAAATACTGAATTTATAGATCATTTAATGCTTATCAGCTGAGCGTCGAATAATCATATACCCTTTGCACTTTTGCTCTATTAATGTGCTATTTGTTTATACTTATACTATTTTAGATAAGCCCGTTACTGATGTGTGCCTGGGCTGCATCTGCGAGGCCATCAGCGGCTGCAATCAGACCCGTTATTGCGGCGGCGGCGTCTGCGGGCTGTTTCGCATCACCTGGGCCTACTGGGCGGATGGCGGCAAACTGACCTTGAACAACGAAAGTCCCCAGTCTGAGGATGGTAAGTGCATGCACGCTCTCTCACACAAACATGTGTACACAGTCTAGTGTATGATTTGTTCTACCTCAATATAATATTTTATTTGTCTGTCGAAAGTTGCTGTAAATTGGAAACTATCTGCATGTAGATTCATTTAAATTGATTGCACTATACATCAAATTTAAGATATTGTGCTTTCTTGATACTTTTTGTTTTCAAAATTTCCTAAATTTTTATATTTAATAACCTAGTATTTCTTTGAACTGTAAGAAAATTTAAACTTACTACGCTAGCTTAATTTATAACAATTAAGTTAAAGTAAATGAACAGTTTTATTTTATGAACCATGTTAACAAAATGCTAAAACCATCTCTCCCATCTTTCCTTATAGCCTATGCCAACTGCGTGAACGATCCGTACTGTGCAGCCAATACCATTCAGAACTATATGTCAAAGTTTGGACAAGATTGCAACGGAGACGGAGGCGTTGATTGCTACGATTATGCGGCTATCCACAAGCTGGGCGGCTATGGCTGCAAGGGCGAACTGAGCTATCAATACCAGAGTGCGCTGGACAAATGCTTGACTACCTTCTCGCCTCTCGATGTGCGCACATCGGGCTGAGTTCTATATCTAAAAATATGATCTACGGCACTATGTTTTAATTATTTATATGCGGAGCTACAAATTGGAATTTGTTTATCTAATCATTTTGAATTGTGCAAAACCCTTTGAGAATTATATATTTTGTATAAATAAATAAAAAAAAAAAAAATAAAATAAAATATATTTTATTAATTCAAGTGGGGCTAATATTGGAGAACAAGAACAGTATATTTTTAATTTAATTTATTTTTTATTTATTTAACGATATCGAGAAAGCTAGAGAATTTAATTATTTATTTTTTATTTATTATTATTAATTAATTTATTTTTTATTTATTTAACGATATTGAGAAAGCTAGAGAAAAAGAATAATTCACAAACAATAAGCCAGATAATAAGTTTACATCTGAAGAAAGTTACATGAGCGATTCCCAGACAAGGCGTCGATGAAACAGTTGAAAATATATATAAATATTTAAGGGAATATATGTAAGATATTTAAATCTTATGATTTGGCAGATTCTCCCTATAACAAACTATGTAGATAATAGAGTATATCTGAGTGGAAGCTTTTAGCTATAATAGGTAACGGTTCAAGCAAAAGCTCTTGTTTGGTTCGAAACCTTACTTACATCTTTCTTATCTGCGAGGCACGTGTGATTTTCCATGAACAGCTTTTATGGAAATACGACTATATACGACTATGAGATACCTATGATATGTTTTGAGCAGCGTAAGTCTAAGGCATTCAAGTAGCATCTACAGAAAAAGCTTCCAGTGTGACAGTCTATTGGAGCTTCACATAGCTATCTGATTTGTTCTACTAACGTAAATGAGCCCTACAAACCGGTATTCTTGACTGTTTACCGGCTCTATACGAACAAGTATTTCAAGCTAGATGCATTGACTGATCAGATGCGGAAGTGCTTGAACGTGCTTCGATCCGGCTTATCACATAAAATTTTGCATACTATATAATGCGAATGCTTTGGAGCTTGGGCCTGTGCTTTGCCTGCTTGGTGTGGCTTAGCCTGGTGCGTGGGCAGGGTAAGTTCCGATTGCTATAGCGTATGTAGTCTATTTTATCATTTGCCCTTACCATGTTAGGTCACGTGCTGGATAAGCCCGTTACGGAAAAGTGTCTTACTTGCCTTTGCGAGGCGATGTCGGGCTGCAATGCAACTGCAGTGTGCATCAGCAATGAGAAGGGCATCTGCGGTCTCTTCCGCATCACTTGGGCCTACTGGGTGGATGCGGGCAAATTGACCATAAAGGATGATGAGCCCGATTCGGAGAACGCCTTCATCAACTGTGCGAATGATGCACACTGCGCCGCCGACAGCGTGCAGAACTACATGAAAAAATTCAATCAGGACTGCAACGACGATGGGGAAATGGACTGTCTCGATTATGCGAGAATACACAGATTGGGGGCTTACGGCTGCCATGGCGAGATGCCCTATAAGTTTCAGAGCACCTTCGATGATTGTATTGAAAACTTCGCGCAACAAGAAGCAGAAGAAGAGTTAACAAAGAATGACCCCTAAGAGAAGTTTGATGAAAGATTTATTATTTAAATATAATTAGTGGTTTATAGGGAACTTAACAGGATTAGATCTTAGCTATGATCTGGGCTTTACAAGCAAAAATCCATTATTAATGAGGAATTTTTGTATAGAATTGTGAAATCCAAGTTGTGCAATAATGATTTGTTATGCTAAGATATATAATTATATTTTTGGAGAATCTTTTATTATATAGTAGCTGAAGATTATCTGAAGATATACAGATATGTAAAATGTTTTTAATGAACTTAAAGTAGCAAATTGTGAAAATATAATATATTAAAAAAAAAAAAAGAAAAAAAAATTTTTTAATTCCTTAAAATAAAATATAAATAAATAAAATTAAAATATAAATATGGAAAAGGAGTGGATTCCCCTTCAATTTAGCACTCATTGAGCTCAATGAGTTTGTAGACTTGTCATTTAGTGTATGCTAACTGTTTTCGATTGCCTTCCCATTTCCTGAACTACAGTATTTAAATTCTATATAGTATAATAGCAGCGACAAATGACTAACTACGTATAAATATCAACAACAAATAGTCGACACATTTCAGTAGCTCGACAACGTTTGAGCCAATCGAAACGGAAACGAAAATGACTACGGCTAAAAACTTGGTGTGTTTGTCTATAATACTGGCTGTGGGCGTGGCTGGTGCCAAGGCAGAGCAGAAGCGGCCCATCACCGAGACGTGTCTAGTGTGCATGTGCGAGGCATTAAGCGGATGCAATGCAACAGCTGTGTGCGTCAATGGGGCATGTGGCATCTTTCGCCTTACGTGGGATCAGTGGGTCGACTCGGGTCGGTTGACAGTCGGTGAGGAGCCGCCGCAATCGGAGAATTGTAAGTAGTAGTATATACTATATAGACAGTGAAGGAAAATCTTATCCATTTGTTAAGCCTTCACGAACTGCGCCAATGATCCGTACTGCTCGGCGGATACACTGCAAAACTATATGGTCAAATATGGGCAGGATTGCAATGGGGATGAGCAGGTGGATTGCTACGACTACGGCGCCATACACTATATGGGTCCATTCAATTGTCAAGCGGATATGCCATACAACTATGAGAGCATATTTAAAAACTGTCTTAAGCGTGCCAAGAAACAACAGCAACAACAGCAGTAATCAAGAAGTGTCTGGATTGATGAATTTTTAATATATTCTATTTATTATAGTAAAGTACACTCAATGATTAGATGGCATATAGTATAAGGGTTTTCCAGCTAATAAAATCACAATTGCTATAGGAAAATGTCAATCAGCATTGCAATGCTTGATCTTATTTTATGACTTGGCAGTTAAACCTACTACTCAGTCGTGCGCCAAGCGTGGCAAAGGCAACAGCTCGAATAGAAATTGTCCAAATAATTTTTCAGGAATTAAAAATGTTTAACAATCAAATTTTTTTGTTGTTCAGTGTATTTTCTATGTTTTTTATGTGGCACATTGATGCCCATATTGAAGGTAAGGCATCGAAAAAGAAAATATAAAATTGTTTAAGTAGTGGAAACGAAGTTGGTGTTGCAACTCAGAATGGAATAAAAAAATGAATTAAAAAGTTTAAGTACTTTCAGCTAAAAAATATAATTTTATTTGTTTTATTATTGTTTTATTTATTTATTTCTTTATTTGTGTGTTAAGCTGTTTTACTTCAGTCAAGTCGTCACTCTAACAGGTATATCGGACGACTCGTCGTGACTTTTTACCAACAAAAAACCTTCGATTTCCTTGGCTGCTTTTCATTAGCATTCAATGTGCTCTAAGATAGTTTCATTTCTTCAGGCTCTGCGTTCCAGGTTCTGATTTTTCTAGCACAAAGAGTAATAATTATGATGATCATACTACAACGAGATCAAATAATAATTATTTCATTATCATGATAAATATTTTAATTTCAAATAATAGATAAGCACACTTCAGCTAAAATTCTAAATTCTTTTTATGAATCCCACATATTAGTATATAGTACCGGAGGTCCTGGCTCGTGCTGCTGAAAAAATCAAATACGTGGATAAACTTTAACTATATACCTGAACTGATATACGTACATACGTCGTAAGACCAAGTTTGATAAATATATAGAATCAACTTGAATATTCTTAGGAACTATCTGCATAACTATCTTATAATTGCTCGGTAATAAGGATTACTAAATGTTTTCCAGCTAGTTAATTTAAAATTGTGAAATAATTACATGTGCTAAATATTTTCAAATTCAATTAATTTTCAAAACTAATTTTAATGCATCTTGCACCACTGTGCTGCTGAAGTGTTAGATAATTATTTTCTAGAATAAATGAATACGAGTAATAATGTAAACCGGCTTTGCCGGTACAAATACTGGATGTATTTCCATTGAATGCAAGCGACTAATATGCTAAGCAGCTCTTACTAAATATCCCTCCCCCACTTACCCCGTCACAGTTGAAAATAAGCCCGTCACGGAAGACTGCCTGGAGTGCCTATGCGAGGCGATGAGCGGCTGCAATGCAACGAAGATCTGTGTGAATGGAGCGTGCGGCATCTTTCGCATCACCTGGACCTTCTGGCAGGACGGCGGGTCATTACTAGGACCTGGGGAGGGCGACGGTGTGCACTCACGTGCATATGAATGAATGAAATTAGTTAACTGAAACAACGTCTTCTCTTCGGCCAGCATTCACAAACTGCGTCAATGATCCACACTGCGCGGCAGACACCATCCAAAACTATATGTATAAGAACGGCGAGGACTGCAACGGAGATGGGAAGGTCAACTGCAAGGACTATGGATCCATACACAAGCTGGGCAATCTGAAGTGCCGGGACGAGCTGCCAGCCACCTTCGGGACCATCTTCTTCAAGTGCCTGGCTAGAAAAGAGCGAGAGGCCGCAGAAGCCCAGAAGAACAACTCGACTTAAATAACTTTTGTCTTTATTTGGGTTTGTTTTTCGAAAACAGTTAGTAATATACATTGCTTATGTTTTTCCATTTGAACAGTTTCCAATACATGGGGCATAGAATCTATAGAACTATAGTCATAGTACACAGTATATATATAACATATGTATGTATATATATGTATTTATATATATTTATATATATATATATTACTTGGTAGTATATAGTATATGCAAAACTACTATAGAATTCTTTTCAACACGTTCGAATTTGGTTAACGTTCGCTAAATACTTGTTTGTTTTTCTTAACGGATTCAAAAGAGTTCTTAAGTTAATTTCATAATTTTTTTATTCTTTTGTTATTGTTGTTTACTTTTGCTTTAGCTACGCTTCTGCATTCGGTATTAAAATCTATTAGGCGTAGAATTGAAGTTGAAAATTTTCTTTTGTTTTTCATACATAGTATATATTTTTAATTGTTTAAATTGTTTGGAACAACCTTTTCAACTTATGAGACAGATGAGTTTGTTAGGCTTGACTGGAAAAAGAGGAAATCTAAAAGAAGAGTTCTAGAAAATAGATCTATTTCCATAACTTTATCGTATGCTCTGTAGCTAAGGCAGAGTTACAAAAGTTGTTTCTTTTTTTTTTTTAATATAAAGTAAAAGCTAAAAAAATATAAATAAATATAACTACAACAACAAAATTATTCTGCCCTAAGAAACAATTTTTTGTGTGAAGGGTTTTGTTGGTTGCTTTTTTTTTGGTAATAAAATAACTTCGGTTTTGTATATAAATAAATATCCTATAAATTCAATCAAGCTCGTTTTTATGGAATGTGTGGGTGTATGTGTGTGTGTGTGTCATGTCATTATCATGTCTGATATAATACAGTTTCCATTTATCGTTTGTAACTTCAACATTAGCTTTGCAAGTTAATTAACTTTATTTCTTATTATTGCCATCGTTTGCCAATAATAGCTCCTTGGCCTCCTTTTTGCCACGTTTCTTCTCCTCCTTGGCATGCAGCTTGGCCAGGCGCTCTTCCTCCTTGGCCAGTCGCTTCTCCTCCTGCCATGAAATTAAATGCATAAAAATGAGTTATAATAACCCGTTACATAAGCAGGAAACTTTATAACATTATGCTTCTAATTAGGGCTGTGGACATGTTGCTACTGGGTAGGGTATATGCACACCATCATATTATAAAATCACTTTTATTCATTATTAATTATTTTTCAATCAGAATATAAATATTAATGTTTATTTCCAATATGATTCTGAAAATGGTTATTTATAGGGTATTAGCTAGTCTTGTATTTGAACATCATTTTACTGTATACTTTTGAATGACAACTAGGGTATTTTCTAGTAAGGACGATAAATGGAAGTATCTCATTACATTTCATCATTAATTTAACATTGTTTAGCAAAAAAAAAAAATGATGACATTAGGAAATAAACTATAAGCATATATATTTTTACTGGGTAATCAATCATGCCAATCATATCATGCCTGTGCTCAATAATATATGTACAAATGAACACATGGTAGCCCCGATCTGGAAAATTTCCTATTTCTTCATATAAGTAACTCACTGCTTACAGGGTATTTGCTAGTGCATCAGCTATGCTTTCAAACTCTTCGCTTGTTCAACATGCAATAAATAGAAAGCTTAAAAAGTGCATCAACTGCTCAAAAAACTACCCAGCGCGCATTATGTGCTACTTTTTTGTTGGCAACCGCCGCCCCTTCGCCCACTACACCTCATTCAGCAACGTGCTGTAGGAGGGGAGTCGGAGGTGATGGTGGGATTGGTGAAATGCACAAAAGACGCGCTCGTCCCGCGTTTAATGAAAAAGTTTGCAGCGGAAGCAAACGAGGCCAATTACAAACAATGGCGCCCCCTGGCGGCGAAACAATAAAGACGCCTGCTCCACAATGAGCAAGCGAACGACTGAGCGAATCAGAGCGGGAGAGAGAGAAAAAGAGAGAGGGAGAGGTTTGGTTGTGAGGGTATGGGGCGCTCACCTTTCTGGCTTCCTTTTCAGCCTTCATCTTGAGCTTCTCCTCCTTCTTCTTGCGCTCCATGGATTCGTTTTTCTTGTTATCCGCTTTCTCTTCTGCAAAATTGTCGAGCGGAACTTAATTAATTTCAATCGCCACACTGGCGCCATCTATCGCGATCAACTTACTGCTGCTGCTGCTGCTGGAGAAGAGCGGAAAACTGCGATTGGAATCGTTTGAGTGGGGCTTGCTGCAGTTGTTTCCCGACTTCGAGGAAGAGGAGGAGCAGGAGGAGGCACCGGCGCCGGCTCCTGCTGTGCCTGCTGCTGTGGCCTTGGTGACCTGACTCTTGCTGCTGGCGGGTGGCGGTGGAGCATTCGCTAGCTTCTTGTCCTTGGGCATCACGTAGGCATTCTTGGGCAGCGAGTTTTTGGCATTGAGCGGGCTAATCTTGGCGCCGCCTGCCTTAAGCGGGGGCGGCGCTAGAGCCGTGCAGCTGAGCTGTATATTCATGGGACTCGGTCGACGCGGCGGTGGCGGTGACGTCGATTCACGCAGCAGCGGCGCCAACTCATGGCCGCTGGACTTCGTATACGAAGCATACCTGCGAGAGGGAGAGGCAGAAATCAGTTAAAGTTTTAATCAAAGCAACGGGACGCACCGAAAGCGCGGATTGCTGACGTGCACCGGCGAGGGATGTGGCACTTTGGCTGGACTGCGAAACTCCTTGATGGGTGGCAGTCGATTCTGCAGATCCAGCATGCGGCTCTTAACGTGCCGCCTCCCCGGATAGGTGTGTGTGGGCGTGGGTGTCATACAGCCGCTGCCACTGCCACTGCCGCTGCCACAGCCGCTGCTGCTGCTGGATGAGGAAGTGGAGGCAGAGTTGCTGAGCGTGTGCAGAGGCTTGCGCGGCACAGCGCCCGAGCAGCCGCTGGGACAGCCTCCGTGGTGCGATAACGAGCCCACGCTCGAGCAAGAGGATGAGCCAGACGGTGAGATCACCTGATGCTGATGATGATGCTGCTGATGATGATGGTGTGTATTGGGCGATGGCGGCGCCAAGTGATGGGCACTGTGCGCCAACGCCGCCGGCGAGGCTGGCGAGCAGGCGCCGCTGCTCGATATGGAAGACGTCTTGGAGTAGTGCGAGTAGCCCGACAGTGTGGAACCTGCCGAGCCCGTGGAGCTCATTGAGTACAAGCTATCCGATTGCGAGACCCGTCCATGAGCGCCACGTGCCGCTCCATACTGATGATGATGGTTGCGTCCCCCAGCGGCCGTGTGCAGCGTGGGCTGATGGAACGCATGATGCTCGCTGTGCGCATCGTTCATCGAATAGGAGCTGGCCGAGGCGACAACGCCGCCCGCATGCACGCCCGCCGAGGCCCAGCTCTTGGCACCCATGGAATAGCTGCTGGCCGACTCCTGTATGCGCCAGCTGCCCGACGACGAGGTCAGCCGATTCACCCGCGCCCGACAGATCACGCAGCGCAGCGGCAGCAAACGCTGCGCCACGGCACTCTGTATGGTCTTCACGAAGCAGCGCCGGCAGACGACGCGATGGCCGCAGGGCGAGGTCTGCATTGTGGCGCGAGCATTGATGCAGATCACGCATTCATCTTCCTGCGAGGTTGGAGGATCCGGCTCGCTCTCTTCTTCCAACTTGCTCAGCAGTTTGTCCTACAAAAAGAGCGGAGATTTAGTAAAAATCGCTTAGTTGAATATTTTTGGCCTGCCTAAAAGTATGCTACAGCTTTGTTATCGAAATGGTCAGAGAACAGCAAGAGATGTGAGAATATTTCATTAACACAATAGAAGGTTAAAAACTGTTCGATTTCAGAAGAGACATAAATCAAGAGCAATAAAAGCATTTGGTCAGTCTTATTTAAGATAGACTTATAAATTGGCTATATTAAGCTGCAATAAACAAATAAGAAAATAAAAATTAAACTTAAATTAGTACATGTTTAATAAGATAAGTTAAGATTTTAAATAGCTATTAATAAAGATAGTTTAAAGATAATAATAAAGATATAAAGATTTTTAATGGATCAGAACAAGTGGAATTCAATTTGACATATATAATCCATAAAAAATGTATAATCTTCAAATATAATAATTGAAATTAATATAATAATAAAAATATATTAGAAATAAATTGGTAATTATAAAAATATAAATATGTAATATAATTAGATTTAAATTCATAGTGTTATTAGTATATACATCAGTTCTACTCTTATCTTTATGTTTATGTTATGCTAAAAAAAAATCTGCGCACTTTAATTGATTTACGCAATAATATTTAATTTATTCAAAGAGGAGTTCAGACATAAATTTTGCTTTCAATACAAGATGTTTGTTTCATTTATGCTAATTTATTACTTATTAATTAACCAAGCTAATAATTAATTGCTCAATGCTGTGCAACTAGTTTTAATTGCGGCTAACGTTTTGCTTTCTTATATCTTTTAAGTATAAATAAATAAAACTAACTGAGATTTTTATAGATCTCCCAATATATTACAATCAACAGTTTCACTCTCAATTATATCGCCGGCTGGTCAAGGCTGCAGCCGGAAGCCACTTGACACGCCTGTTAAAAAATAACAGCATCCACTAATGGCAATAAATATGAAACTCGAATTTTTGTATTGTTGAAACTACGCATTGGCTAACTGTATTTATATGATATGCAAATGACAGCGATTCGGATTAATAATTAAATTAACTAAATTGGCCAATGACGCTGTTCGATTTTTGCTATTGTTGTCTTCAATCTGTCAGCTTTTATATTATATCTTTGGGGTGGGAGTCCGACCTCAGGCTGGTTTATTGTGCATAAAACATATAATAAACATATGATATATATATATAGACTTAATGCATATATATACTTATTTAAACTTTAAAGAATTGTTTAATTTCGCATTGTTAATTTTCATGTTTTTTTTATTGCTTTTTGAATGCATTTTTTCTTACTGTTTATTGTCATTAATTTTGTGAGTCAGCAAATATTTTGATATGTTGAGTGTGATGTGGGGTATAATGGTTAAGTGGAGTTGGACGCCCCATGAGGATTTATACTAAGATAAATGTTATATATTTATGTTTTTCTGTCGTCAATTTTATACACTTTTAATACATGACAAATGTATATTAGTAGACTATGTTATTATTTGAAGCACGTACAATAAGTACATAAGTAAATTTTATGGACGTGGTGGATATATATTCATTTTTTTATATTTTTTTTATAAGCATCAAATGCTTTTATATTATATATTTATTATTCAGGGGGCTAACTAGCTCCAATCAATATATATCGTTTATAGTAAAAATTATATACGCATTGTGAACAAATGTAATTGGTTTAAGCATTATATAATTCTTCTTTTCACGCTTCACTCTTCTATAAAAAAATGTATAAATCAAATTTAATAATTATTCAAAAGAGTATTGCTGCTTCGTTTATCAATTCTCATATCAATTTGATATTTGAATTGATTGTTGACAATCACGGGTTTATAGCTTTCGGCGGCTTCTCAACTAGACATAACTGTTGCTTATTTTTAGCGTGCTTGTTGTGTGCTTACTGTAAATTTAAATAAACAATTGTAATTATCGGCGTGCAATGTAC